TTTTTTTCGGGTTAAAATGCCTGACTATACATGGTGGCTTTTTGGGACTAAAAACGCCTTACTATAAATGCCGTTACTTTGTTTTTTTATGGGGCGGGTAAAAATGCCTATCTATACATCGTCGCTTTTTGGGACGAAAAACGCCTTGCAAAACATTTTTTTTTTTTTTTTACGTGCGTGTGTAAAAAAACTGCTTACTATACAAAGTATAATTTTTGGCTACTGAAAGCGCCTCACATGACATGGTCTTTTTTTTTTTTTTAAACGCCTGACTATACATGGACGTTTTTTTCGGCTAAATATGCCTTGGTCGTGTTTTTTGTTTGTTTTTTATATTAAAAAAAAAACGCCTTAGAATAGATTCCAAAACTACACGTTAGATTTCAACACCTACATGTGTTTGTATTTTTGCAGACCCAAATGCCTGATCCAAAAACCTTCAAGCAACATTTTGAGAGCAAACACCCCAAGTCTCCAATGCCTCCCGAGCTGGCCGACGTTCAGGCTTGAGGGAGCGCCACCGAGCCGGTGGGAACCACTTGCACGCCATCTTTGCCCGTTGTTCGCTACGCATGTCATCTCGTGTCTTTTTATCATAGAAACAACATGATGTCATGGATCAAGAACACTGGGACCAGTCGATCCAACGACATGGCGGCGATGTGTGGAAAGACCGTAAACAAAAGGGGCAAAAGTCCACCAGTAGTGTCTTGTTGGAAAAACATATTTATTGTATCCAAGCAACATGCTGACAAACTGTCAGGTGTAATGGGAATTTGACATGTAAAAGTGCTCCAATGTAGCTTTGAACTGTTTGTAGCATTGTGAGTGCTGACCCTGTTATCCGCAGATTGGCAAAGTCGCTTGCACATGAGCCAGATTTCATCCTGTTATCCGGAAGTGTCGCTGTCCCAGGTCGTGATTGTGGAGCCATTTTATACCCTTGTTTCTTCTTGGGAGGGGTTAAAGTCAGACCACAGGGACAGCTACACTTCCGGAGAACAGGATGAAGTCTGGCACATGTGCAAGCAACTTTGCCTTTCTGCAGATAACATGGTCAGCACTCACAATGGTACAAATAATGATAAGATCCATTTTAGTACTGTTAAATGTCAAATTCTGATTGCGCACAAAGGATGAATGACAAGTTCATATATTTCACTTTCTCTTCTTTCATCTTTCCTGAGTGATGCAAGCTACGCGGAGAAGTAAAAAAAAAACCCACTAAATATCAGGCGCTTACCAACAGTACCTCGGGCCTTTTTTTTTTTTTAATTAAAAACAAATCTACATGTGGCAATAACTTATGGAATATGTTCATTAATTTGGACCACTAACGCTTAGTGACAAGCACAAAACATGTACATCAACATTGTATTTCATGTTTTGGAAGGACTATTTAGAAAAGATGTGTGACCAAAAAAAAGTAATAGTTGTGTGTATCTTGTAATAAAAGTCAAAGTCAACTCTCCTCTGGTTTTGGTTGCTGCTAACGACGTCTTGGCGGCGGCGGCGGCCGCGCGTCTCATAGGCAGCCGCAGTTCTTAACCACCATGTTCCGATGCTTCTTGAGGATGACGTTGTTGTTGTCGTCGTAGAAGAGCACGGAGATGGGGCTCAGCTTGGTGGGCGCGCAACACGCCTTGGGCACCTCGTCGGGCTTCAGCAGATGCACCTGGCAAGCAGAGTAAAATGCCCGAGAAACTTCCTCAAGTCAAGTACACCCACTAGTTATTTTGCATATTTAATTCAGTCCGGAATTTCAGAGAATAGAATATGCCAAACGTGTGCGTAAAAGCTCACGAATAAATGACAAAGACAGTGGTACTGACTACTTGCTGGATGAGGGCGTGGTTGGTGGCATTCATGCAGGCCCCTAGGGGATAAAAACACTCGCCATCGCAGTAGTATGCCGAGTAGCCTGTGGGTGCCAGAACCCAGTCCTGAACAACAAGAGTAGAAATCAACTTTGAATATCTTAAGTATATCTCCATTAAAAAAAAAAAAAACTCACCTTCCATCCGAGGTCACTGAAGCTGACGTAGAGTTCGTGTTTTTTACATGGCTGACCGCCACTGTTGACGGGACTTCGATCTGAGTGGGACAAGACCAAATTGAAATCGCCTTTGTTGACAAAAGATTCGCGCAAAAGTCGTGCGAAACCAAACTCAACTATGAATGCTGGGTACGGGGAGGTCATATTTGGGCTTCTTCCTGCGGGGGTGCGTCTTGACCGCGCGGGGGGGCCGGCAGGGGATCTGGCTCTCCCGGAAGAAGGTCACCATGAAGGGCTGCTTGGAGCGAGGACCTCTGCGGCCCACTAGCCCGATCCAGGCGGCAGACAGCGAGCGATCTAGAAGGACAGCGCGAGTCAAGTTGGGCATTAGATATTAAAAGAGTAGCGGCAAGAGTGTGAGCGGACCCTCCTCGGTCTCCACGTAGAGGCGGATTCCCAGGTTGCTGCGGGGGTGCAGAAGCCAGTGGTTGGACGCCGAGGTGACGTCGAAGGCCAACCAGCCTTCTTGGCCTGCCGGCACGGACTGCATGTCCAGCAGCACCAGCTCAGGGTCCCTGAAAATGACATCTTAAATCATTTATAGAACCCTTAATCAGAGGAAAGTCTCAAATGGTCTTTCATGGCCACAAATGACAAATAATATGAAATAGGATTTTTTTTTCCTTAAAGGATTTTCAACAAAAACTTCCCGAAAGGAAAAAAAAAAATCTGGAAAAAAAAGATAATCCTTGAAAAGATAATAGCATTGAAAATATACTTTTTGTTGAAAAAAAAAAACACTCCATAATGTTACTTTTTCTGAAAAAGTAAATTTCTTGAAGACATACTTTTTCCTTGAACAATAAAACTTGACTTTCCGAAAATGAATTTAATATTTAATTAGTTACTATTTTCTGCAAAAATCGAACTTTAGTCACTATAACAACAATGAAAACGTATGACTTTAGCCTCTGAAATAAATCAGAGGAATACAGTGTGTGTACCTGTGTCTGTTGTCCTTCTGAATCTCGTATACGGAGATGTGCAGGGTTCTGTTGGCCCGCTGGCCCAGCGTCAGCGCCTTGTAGATGCGGAACTCTGCTGCCGTCACGGTCTCACCCTGGGGCAAGGGGGTCAGGTCGAAGCGGAACTCCTTCCAATAGGGACGCGGCTGCAGCAGGTCCCGTTCCTGCTCCACTACGACGTGACCAACGCACACAAAAGACAGCAGCCATGTGTTGTAAGGCATTTTTTTACAGTAAAAACCCCCCCCACAAAAATGGCCATGTAGCATGGGTATCAAACTCATTTTTGTCGTGGGCCACATTTTAGTTACCATTTTTTCCTCGGAGGGCCATTATGACTGAAACCAAATTATAAAAAAGACAACGGTTCATTCAACGATTGTTGAAGTTACCGTAATGAGGGTTTTGGTTACAAGAAAAATGCTTTCAGTAAGTCTCTTTTTTAATTTTACATTTTGGTAGAGATTTTAGCAAGCATTATGGAAGTTGGCATGTTTAATTTGCTTTCACGGGCCAATTAAAATGATGTGGCGGGCCAGATCTGGCCCCTGGGACTTGAGGTTGACAAAACTCAATTTATGGGTATGTATCCGGAAGTTCTTTTCCTGCCAACCAATCGAAGGAGATACACTTCCGGTAAAGGTGAAGCCTAAAAGACGAGATAAAATCTTCCGACAAAAACGAGACATAAATATTTAGTTAATAAGTTACAGCGTGTGTAAATTGATCACAAATTATGGTAAATCAATACATTTCTCATCACAGTATTGTTTGTTCATGAGTTAATTAGCGCGACGGCCCAAAATAAAGCACTTTGCTCAGGGTAACCAAAGAGACGGCAACTTCCGGGAAGGGCGTCTCTTAAAGAGGCAGGCATTTAAAACGTCACTTCGAAAATCCGAGTCGAGGTGGAAAATGCCTCAAATTAGGGGAAACAGAATGGGTGCGAGATCCTCGGTTGCGTAATATTTGTGTTTGAATTACTGTATATACTAAATTAATTGGTAACATCAGCTTTATGAGCAATTGTTGCTTTGAAAATCTGTAAACGGTAACTTCGCACGAAAGGAGATGAAAACCTCAACAAGTGACGTTCACACGGTGGAGGAGCTACTTTTCGTTGCTTTACGTACACGCACACAAACTGTGAGTTGCACGACACACTGGACGCAGCGCGTGCATATCGACGTGCAAATAAATAAACATGCAACACACATTGCATGCAGATACACAGGAAGTGAGCCCTGGAGACTTACACAAACACTGTGTGTTGACGTTAAATAGCGATACGAAGTCCTCCGATCGGTTGAGCATCTCGCGCGCGCGCGCGCGCGCACGCACACAAGAGCAGTAATTAGAGACACTGTGCTCCGCACCACAGCAGCTGCAGTGCGCACACACACCACTAATTGCAGGCCTGCCTTGTATTTTGTCGTATTTTTAGCGCTTGCCGCCGCAGCCGCATTTTCATCTCGCTCGGTCCGGCCGGCTGCCTTACCGGTGCGTGTCATTCGGGCCCTTTAATCGACTGCAGCTGTGTGTTCCCTGGCGTGCGCACGGGGTCATGCTCGGATGAGGTCACGATGTGCGCAAATTGAAAGAAAGTCCGTGTCCGTGCCACCGGGCAGCGGCAGGTGAGAAGCTTTTGCAACGTTCGATGAATGGAGGGCGGCCTGTCTGCGAGCCTGGCCGGTGTTTGCACAACGCGGCCGCTCTGGGCCATCAAACGATGTTTGTGTGCAGCGTTGACTGATAAATTCCAGGGTGTACTCGCATGAGCAAAACACACATGGGGCGGGGGGCGCGGGGGGTTGGGCGGTGGTTTATACAACACTTGAAGCTTAAAGAGCATTCCCACCAAGCTGTCCTGTTGCAGGAAGGAGGCGATCCGAAGAGGCAGGCTAATATTTATGCAAGGACAGATAGGCATCAGCACGACTCTGCAATTGCAAACACACCCACACACCACTTCACTCAACTCTGAATTCAGTTTAGTTTACTTTTAGGTTGAAAATCCAACCGTAGTTTCAAACCTTACTTTGTAGCCCTAACCTTAATCAAAAACCCGGCTATCAAATGCAAACCCTAGTTTAAAACCCTTATCAGAAATCCAAACCCTATTTTAAAATTCTACTACTTCCAAATGAAACCCTAACCTTGTGATGTAGTAAAGTTTGTTAGTAGAGGTATCGTTCTGTACATTTATATCCATTTTTATTTCTATTCTATTTTTACATTTTGATATACCATGGATGTTTTTCCTCACGAGTCTTGACAATTATATAATTGGTAAAATGTTGCAATTGTAAAACGCGTTTGTACAGGCTGACTGTTTTACACTGATAACTTGAGGGAATCGCTGATATCAAGTATCTCCCGTATCGTGGCAATGGTATCGCTCACAAAAATATTGAAGTTATAGTAAAGTCAATTTTGTAATATATGCATCTCTCATGACATCTTTGGGAAAACATCACAATGTGTTAGTTAGGATTGACACGGCCGCAGCATCTCTCCATAAAAACAAAGATACTTTGTCATGATGCTTCCCGCAACACGACTCCGTTTGCACTCACCCAAATTGACGAAGCTCATGACAGTGTCGGCCTCGCTGACGACGGTGCCGAGCGGTGGCGTGTGCGTGCTGAGGGTAGGCAGCGCCGGGTGGTGGACGGCCGCCCTCCGCCGGTGCACGCCGGGCCTGATGACGTCGTTGGCGGAGGCCGAGTTGTCCTCACCGTCCACCGCCATGGCGTGGTAGAGGTCCAGCATGAAAAGCGGCGCTGACGATGGCGGCCTAAGCGGCGGGTGAGGCCTGGGTCGGCCCGGCAGGCCCAGGATGGACAAGATCTCTTTTTGCATCTCTTTCTTCTCGCGGCCGCTCAGACGCCGGAAGCTGGAGTGCACTGCCGTCTCGGCCTGCTGGGCCAGCGGCAGGAGCAGGACCAGAAACAGGACCATGTTCCTGGGCAGGAGTTGGCGGACGCCACGTTGTCGGCTACCGCTTTGGGTCGGACACGTCACCATCCTGCTTTGGCTTGTTCTTTCTGGAGACGTTCACCTCCTGTCTGCTGGCTCCCAAAACTCTTCAAATGGTGGAGATGATGGTTCACTCGCTCCTTTTTTCTCTAGTCCTCGTGCTGTGCACTTCCACTCCTGTCTTCCCTAGTCTGGATCCTTCCCGAGTCCCCTATACTTTGAAAGTGATGGTCGCGTTCTTTCTCTCTCTCCAACCTTCTCATTGAATGCCACTCTCCAATCCAAACTTCTCGAGTCCAGATCCTCCTCAGAGTTCTGCTACAAGCTGGACCATGAAGAGAATGTTCAGTTTCTTCCGTTAGGTCTCCACCCCAATTTTCCCGAATCTGGACCCCCCTTCTGTTGATTTTCTACTCGAGATAGACCTGTTCTTCTTCTTCTGCTAATTATTGTTGCTGAACATTGGACAATGAGTAGTCAACCAAACCTAAAGCTCTCAAACTGACTGGACTTGAGTTGATCAAGTGTCTTCTCAGTTGTCAGTCTTCAACTTCGGGCAGACTGAGACCAGAAAAAGAACTTATCGGCTAGGAGTCTTCTGCACAAGATTGAAGAAGCCATTGACCTCCATTCCAACTTTTGCCTCGTCTGGAGTCTTCTGTGGGTGTTCTCCTCCGAAGTAAACGGACAGTCACCTCCTGAGTTTCTCTCTTCTGCTCCGAGCCGCTCTGGTTCAGTTCAAGTGAGCCGTTCACCTCCCTGCGTGTACGTCTCCAAACGTCTGGAATTCCCGGGTGCTTCGCAAAAAGCAGCTCGACGTGTAATCAGCAATGGAGCAGATCCTGCCGACTTTGAAGCGGCCAAACTTTTAATTTGAGAGGAGAGCAGGTGCTGATGAGCGTGCGGTGAAACCGGTAGCGAAGTCCGACTTTTCTTGTACGCCCTTCGGACAAAACCGGGAAACCTCACAGGAATCCACAGAAAACGTCTGTCAGTATTCCTAAAAAAAAAAAAAAATGGAAAAAAAAAAAGCTTCTTCACACTTGGCACACGCCGCTTGCAGTGCGTGAGCGTCTGAGCTGAGTTTTCAAGTAACGGGAGGGAGCGCTCCTCACGTTCCACCCACATCAGCCCCCCCCCCCTCCTTGTGAGGGAAGGAGTTGATCTCCCGCCTCCTCCTCAGGACTGCTTCCTTTCGCACCCCAGCAGCGTCAACCCGTCCATCTTTCACGCCGTGTTTACCAACAACCCCGCCCATTGTCACAAATGGGAAATGTTTCCAAATTTGTGTACAGAGTTCAAGAAAATGGGATAGTGACCACCCCCCCCCCTCCAAGTATATTGCAGAAAAGTTTTCCTCAGCGCAGTTAACGCAAGCTACTGTATGTTGCCATTGGTTACGGTGTTGGGACTTTAGGGAGCTCAAAGATTTTTTTTGGGGGGGTGTAGGTGGTTTGAAAGCCACTCTTCAAGGAGGAACCTTTTCCAGCTGCCCCAAAGAAACATTTTAGCCAGGCGTGACAGATTCTGTGGCCAATTTTGGCTGACACTGCGCACACCTAATTTTGACATCGGTCCCACATGCACTCACTGCGCGGTCGTTTTGTGTTCATGTGAGCCCCAAGGAAGGAGTGAGTCAAGTTTTGCGGTGCGGTTTTAGTGTGTGCCGGGCTTCAAAGATGGCAACGCGCTCGCGGCTGCAATGACCACGCGAGGTCTAAACACAGTTGTGATCATCGTGTGTGTGTGTGTGTGTGTGTGTGTGTCGAAGAGATGGAGCAAATATTCACAGAAGTTGGAAACTACGCTGGCTTCTTCTCGGCTTGCTACCGCAGAACCAACCGGGCGTGTCCTTATCTCAACGTGAGAATTACTCAGAAATGTCCGGCCTGGGGCATCATGGTGGAAGAGCGGTTAGCACGTCTGCCTCACAGTTCGGAAGGGTCACGGTTAGAATCTGGGCTCTTTGTGTGGCTGCTCTCAGAAGGGACTCCAGCTTCCTCCTGCGTTACAAAAATGTAAATGTTAGGTCTGAATGTGAATGCTTGTCCACATGACTTGCACTTCCTGTACGTGTCTCAAAACATTTGTCCAACAAATGCAAACACTATAGATTTTTTTTTTACTGCAAGCATCATTTTAATACAAAAAAAACAGATTTATAATTTTAGTTTTTTTTTTCTTCATTTTACACAACTTGTCCTTTGCTCCTACTCGTGTTTGCACGGTAATGCAGCATCTTGTGGGAGGGGGACATTAATAAATAAAATGTCTTTCATATAAATGTCTGGGGGGGG